ACTGAACTCAGTAACAGTGAAATGTTATCTCACAGACAAATTTACAATGCTTATGAAACTGGTCTTTTCTGGCATTATGTACCATGAAATACCTTGGCGACCTCTACAGAAAAGGTTCCAACTGATGTCAAAGCTAGACTAACAATTTTAACATGTGCAAATGCTGCAGAAACGCACAAGTATAAACCTTTTGTAATTGGAAAAAATACACGACCTCGAGCATTTAAAGGAGCAAAGATTTTCCCCATTGCATATCATATAAATAACAAAGCATGGATGATGTAAGCGTCAATATATGACTGGTTTGAAAATCCTTTCACATCCGAAGCTCAGCAAACATTTGAATTCGGTTGGTTTACCTTGATGGTGCAAAAAATTTCCTGATTGTTAATAACTGTTCGGCTCATATTTAAAGTTTTAATGAAAGATAATGTATCCATGTTATACTTTCCTCCAAACTTCCTGTCCATCATTCAGCCTATGCATATTGGAACAGTGTGCGCACTGAAGTGCAAATATAAAGTCGCATTTTAAAAATCAATGTTAAATTTCTTGAATAATGGCAAGACTATTCAAGAATTTTTGAAATATTTTAACATAAAATCTGCTGTGTGGAGCATCGCAAGATTGTGGGAGAATGTGCCTCCAGACTTTAAAAAAATGCTTGGCAAAATTTAAGGCCAGCTACTGTATTTCATGGTGAGGATGATAGCCATGAATTCGAAGGTTTTCGAATATCGCAAACCACAGGTGAAATTATATGGATTATATGGATGGTGAAGTTAATGAATTTTGTAAAGAAATGTGAAAAAGCAGTAATAAAAGAAGATGATATAACAGACGTTTTTCATTAAGATGACAATACTCCAATCATCCTTCAATTAATGGTCGGCAAAATCTGTAATATGTTTCTAGATCTAGAAAATACTGCTAACAATAGTGAAGAAAGTGAAAGAGAGGTTATTGAAAATGAAAAAATTTCGATTGACAAGTCAGTCAGAATTTTCAACACAGCAATTATAGGACACTTGAACAGTAAAACTTTGTAACTTAACAAAAAATTATATCTGTCTATAGAATTAAAGAAAAAGTATTTGCACAAAAAAAAAAAAAAAATAATAATAATACATGGTGGGCAATGGTTTGAAAAGTGATAGAGCCTTTTAAAGTTTTCGATGCAAAAAGCCAAAACCAAATTAACAGTCCTTCAGAGCAAACAGCCCCTTTGGACTATAATAAAAAAAAAAAATGAAAAGTTTCAGGTTTTAAATTTCGTCCAAAGGGGTTTTTTTTAACATTTTGTCTGTTACATTTATTTATTAAATATCACATTCTTCGCACTTAAAGCATAAAATTCAGTTCAAGTGCAATATCAATATCGCAAATGAGCATATCTTTAGAATTTCCGATACAGAGTCTCACGCGATGGAGGTAAAAATGTTTTTCAACTGCCTGCTTTGAAATCCTCGAGTATGTTAATAAAAAATTTGTTAAAGCTTTACAGAACATGAAATCAATAATAAAACAAATTTCAAATTTGGGCTTTCAGATGCCCGCATTTGCAGTAGGATTACATCATCATACCTGCCAACCTCTAAAGATAAAAATTCAGAAGAACACGAAGAATTAATATCATGCTTTGATATTAAAAAATAACAATTTATACAAATAGAAAAAAGAAAATTGTACTTACATTAGTAAATCTCAATTAAGTAGTAACTAAAAAATTTATTAGGAAACATAAAACAAGAACTTAATGTTACACAAAAAAATTATTGCAATGAATTTAGAGTGCATTTTTTGGCTTTAGCCAAAAATTCTTTGGAAAATTTCCTGTCATAACAATTAGTTTCCTCATAACATTTAGCAATTAAAATGTTTTCTAGAGTTTTTGGTGAAATTGAAGAACGAAACATAGTTTTGTTTTTCTTCACAACACTGAAGACTCTCTCGCACTCAGCATTACTGTGTGGAATTACAGCTGCAGCTTTTTCTGCTGCCAAATTAATTAAGTGGCATGGGCATCCAATAACAATTAATTCATTTTGTCCTTTTTTGAGGAAAGAGGACACCTTTTTGTCACCCACCATGAATGAGCATTATCTGCACCAAATGAAATGCAGTTTGATATTGGATGTTAAGTTGTTTCAACTCATTAATTACCAAGGAGGCAATATTTTCCCCCGTAACGTCTCCATTTAACAATGGAGGACGCAAAAGATGAGTTTTCATTTCATTAGAAACATCACAGAAATATGTGACAACGATGGGTAAAGCTTTCAATCGCTGTCATTGCTGCCATCGATTGACACCGAAAATGCTGAATTCTGGAGTGCAGCTATCGTTTTACTTTGTGCATCGCAATCAATTTCGTTCATAATAGAAGATGTTTTCGTGCGAGCACAAGCATTTTTCTGAGCAATCTTGGAGTCGGGAAACATCCGTCTGAAAAGTTGACCGGCGTGATCGGCAGCGCTTAGCGGCACGTTGTGTTCGATGAGGAATGCAGTAAACAAAACACTCTGCCAAAATGACATCGGCATCCGAATTCGTAGCCGAATTTGAAAAAAAAATCATCCACTTTCTTTGACGTTGTCGAAGCCGAAGCATTAACTTCATGCTTTTTAGACTTAACATGCTTCACAATGTCGCTTTCTTCCACCGTGACTTATTATGAAGTCACACACGCACACGTTGCAAAATGCATAGTTATTTCCTTTGAAGGATTCTTTAATTGTTGGAAATTCGGCTTTGTAGGCAGGCCGAAAATATTGAGAATACGGTTTTTTTGAACTCATTTCGTAACAACGACATATTAAGAAAATTCGTAGCACGTACAAACCAAATAAAAAAAAAAAAAAAATGCGACAATCCACGTTCGCTGAGTCCGAGCTGAGAAATTCCCTTGCTGCTGAAGCGAACGCGAAAAAAAATAATCTGGCGCCCACAAAGAAAAGAGTGGGAAAACAAGTTCAGCGCATTGGATTGGCTGGTTAAGCGGCAAATTGGGAGAAACCGCAGGTCACTGGAGTCGAAGTAGTCGGTAGTTGGCGGTAAAACACGATGCAATTGGCAAAAATCGCTGAATTGGCGAAAAATTCTAAAATTTCGACAAAAATCACTAAAAACACTTAAAAAAGGGAAAAAATCGTAAAACATGGATTACGATCGTAAAATCGTAAAGACAAACGCATTTTCGTAAAAATTACGAAAAATTCGTAAAAGTTGGCAGGTATGCATCATTCAAAATTTTATAGCTCTAGGTACCACTGTTTTATCACAATGTGGGAAACTTACATACATTTATGCAGATTCTTCATTATTTAATTTCTTCAAATATAATACAGGACGATAATATTCAGTGGCAACAGTTTGAAAAGTGAAACGGACATTTGTAGGGAACCTATGCAAAACGAAAACAATAGTCCTTCAGGGACAAAGCCCTCTTGGACTTAAAAAAAAACTTTAACAATTTAGATTGAAAGAAATCTTTAATAAAGTAAACAAATATTAAGCACCCCCCCTTTTTTTTTTGTAAATATTGACACCCTTTAGATCAGAAATGCTTCATTTTTTTTCATAAATCAGGATTTCATAATTTTAATTTTATAATTTCCCCATGTGTCATCTTACTTGATTTAAACTGATATCCGAAAAAATCACAAATCTGGAATTGCCAAAGTCCCGATCTCAGACACTATACTGCATATATGTTAACTGTAATACACTTTCAGAATTCATCCATTTATAATTTGCATTTTAGCTTAGATATGTTCTTTGAGGTATACAGATAGATATTTCACTGTTTCTAATAATTTGGTCATTCAAATGCAGATGAAGATATAACACGACAAAGAAACAGCATTGGAAACAGCTCTTCTGAACATAAATTTTTATGGAAATATAGCCTCATAAATATGACAAAAAACAAGACTCTGAGGCACATCACTGTGATATGTAACTATTTAAATAGTGTATACCTTGCGACTTTTAATCAATATGAAATAAAAAATTATATGAGGGTCAATCTAAGTTTGGTATTGCTTTCATGCGTAATGTATTATTTTTAAAAGAAACTGTACAGTATATTGTAACATGTGCCAATTTCTGCTGGAAGCAAACACTCTGTAAATAATGCTTTAATTAATTACATTGCCTTAAGCATACTCAAGAATGTAAGTGTTTATATTTGCTGAAAAAAGTATTTTTTCTTAATGTATTTAAATACTAGTGGAAAATGCGAATGAAAATTTAAATAATATTTTTACCATGAATAGATAATTATTACGAGACCATTTAACAGTTACCAAAAAAATCAAAAGAATACACAAGAAATCATCAATCCTTGATTTGATTATGGACAATTCTTAATTTCATTTATAACTTTTTTTTTAAGAGATAAAATGCTTAATACAAAACTTCAAAACTTTCTGAATATTTCTTATATATGTATCAACTTTCCTATACATAATATAAGTACAAGTCTTCTCTGCCTACAGGATTTCCCAAGGCATCCCTAACCTAGAAACAAGAGTCCTTGACCTTGTCTAAACTAAACAATTAGAGAAATATTACAAATTCCAGAACTCCAATTCAATGCAGAATCCTATGGAACAAACCAAGATTTTTGTTAACAGAAATGAACTCAGAAATTAAAGTTATGGAAAATTCTTGCAACTTAGCTCAAATAAATAAATTACATTTATTTTTATTAATGTTAACTGTAATTTTACCTATCTAGTTTAAAAATTCTGAACTATATATATCTGTAATTTATATGCTTTGACAGATACATACACATAACTTAACTGAGTTTTGCATGTTTCTTTTTATCCATATTCATCATTGTAATTAATTTCAAAACAGAAGTTACTTTTCAGAGTTAAATGTGCTTTACTTATTACTCAATTAAACAAAAATATAAAATTTTTAGTCATGCTTAATATACAACAACAGGTAAGATATTTAATATAAAATTATTATATAACCAGAGAACTCACTCTTCACTAAAGCCATTAACGTGCAATATCCTCATTTGTTTTACTATTGTGCTTTTGCCAGACTCACCAGCACCTAGAAGTTAAAATTAAATAAACTATTATGAGATTAGAAAACAATTATACACACCAGTACCTAAAATTTAAAATTAATTAAACATAAATAAAAATAATGAGACAGAAAAAGAGTATACACAGACATCTGACACAAACAGAAAGCATCAAGAATGTACACATTCAGTAAGCTCATGTATCTATAAAGGTAAAATTTGAATTAACTGACAGTTAAGAAATGATGCTTTTTAAATCACTTGGTTTGTTATGCAATTATAGACTGATTAAATTCTGAAAATAAAAAAATTGATATTCTGCTACATGGCAACACTCAAGAGAACTGATTATGTATGAGAAAAACAGAATGTAAATAACTGTCATTTAACATAGTTGCAACACTGACATTTAACATAGAATTCACATTTAACATAATTTGTGTGAAGGCAAACACATTACATATTCATGCATGGTGATAGGAAGAGCCTTTTTTCCTTCCTCAATGTAGTTTATATGATGTAATAGTAAAGGATTTTGGAAAAAATTTGATGCAGGCATTTATAATATTACAATTACAGTCTGGTATTTGGTAAGTTTGTCATGCAGAAAACATGAGAGCTAAAATGTTTACTTTAACTGAAAAACTCTCATGCACAGATCATTATAGTTCTGATATATGCACTGTTTGCATTTCTGGAATGTTAATTTAAAAGTTCCAACTAAGATATATATCGAGAGATAGAAAGAAAATGATAAAACATTTTCATTGCATAAAAAATACTTCATGCAAATGCAATATTCCAAATGCTATTTAGCTATACAGCTAATGTGACATTTTCCCTGATTTTAAGTTTGGAAGATACGACAGGAGAGAATTTCGATATAAAAATTATCAGATACCTGTCAAAAATTTTGACTTGTCAGGTATTTAATTACAGTTCAAATTATTTATTTTACTCATTTTTATTTTATTTATCATTAGTTACCTCGTCTTAAAACAGATTTAAATATTTAATTTGCAAACAAATAGAAACATTGGCTAGTTTATAAAATTTTTCAATTTAGAACATCACCTGATTTCCCTAATAAATACACGACTCTTGATTTAAAATTAATTTTGAATGCAAAATATCTTTCACTGCTAAAACAAAACAAAGCAAAAAATGCATTCTTATCCAGCTTTTTTTACTTCATGAAAAAGAAAATCAAATTACAAATAATAATACACTAAATATAATTTCATAATCGATTTTTGTAACTAATGTTTTTCCTGATAAAAACGTGACTTATCTTGCATAACAAAATTTCTTTTATCACGCATTTTACAATTAAGTGATTTTATTTTACACTGCAATAAACTGTGTGAAGGCCAACTATTCAACAACTGTAAAAAATTTAACATGGACCTAATTATATTGACGACACAATTTTAAAAAATGCTGCCAATTCATTTTGCTCCAACAGAAAATTTAGAGCAAAACAAATAACTTAGAAGAATTAATTTTTTCAGCTATTACAGGCCTTTCTCCATAAAAAAATTAGAATTTTCAGACACCAACTATATTAAAATTAATTGAAAAATGTCATATATTTATTATATTATTTATCTTGCATACACTTTATACTAAGGAAATTTGCTCTTGTCTCATCAAACAGAAGAGATTTATCCTATTCAATAGCTTCTGAAATTGTCTATTAACCTTTTCACATGGGCTACAGAGAATAATTGTTTATGTATTGAAGTCATTTAATCAACTATTCACTCAGCAAGAAATATAAAAAATTGACAAGGTCTACCATTGCCTGCTCTGTGTTATATAGAAAATTTTAAATCTTAGTAAAGTAAATTTCTCCGAGACATATTTAATGTAGTAGCATACTGTGTTCCAACATCCCCCCCCCAGGAAATAGTTATATTTAGCATGTGATCTTTATAACTAAAATTTCGGCTGATCTTTAGAATATGGTAACTGGTAGTTTGGCGACATTTTGGAGGCGATAAAGGTTACTACCTGGGACTTTGGTAATAATGTGAGCAGTATTCAGTTCAGTTGATCTTTACAATATGGTAACTGGTAGTTTGGCGACATTTTGGAGGCGATAAAGGTTGATCTTTAGAATATGGTAACTGGTAGTTTGGCGACATTTTGGAGGCGATAAAGGTTACTACCTGGGACTTTGGTAATAATGTGAGCAGTATTCAGTTCAGTTGATCTTTACAATATGGTAACTGGTAGTTTGGCGACATTTTGGAGGCGATAAAGGTTACTACCTGGGACTTTGGTAATAATGTGAGCAGTACTCAGTTCCGATTACGCATTATTTTGTGGGGGGGGAAATGAGAGATCATGGGATATGTCATGTGATATTAATGGACGAATTACGGTTCTTTAATCGGAAAAGGGGGGGAATTTGGACAAGTATCTGTGGATGTATATTATTTTGTATTAAGCTTCATTGTGTGTGTGTGAAGTAGGGTTGAATAATTTTGGATTGTATGGCGCTGTCTAAAGTGAATTGTAGATGTGATAAAGAGAATTTTTTTTTTTTTTTTATCAAATTCAGAAAAAAAATCATTCAGTAATTTTACTGAATCCATAATAAAAGTGTATCCACCATGTAAGGAAGATTCAGAAGAAGATTAGGTTAGTTAGACTTTGTTAAGAATGTGAGTAGTATTCAGTTCTGATTACGCATTATTTTGTGTGAGGGAAACGAGAGATCATGGGATATGTCATGTGATATTATGGACGAATTACTGTTCTTTAATCGGGAAAAAATCTGGCAATTTTGTATTTGGCTTTATTCTGTGTTGTGTAAAATAGTGTTTGTGAATTTTTGGATCCCATGGCCGTAACTAAAGTGAATTCGAAATGGGTATTTAGTGCTATTGAAAAGGATAGTAATAAATGTTTTTTAAGGTTGTGCGAGAGAGAAATAAAGATGTTTTATTATGTTATTTATTTTACCTGGTATCTTGCTTTGAAAGATAAGTATGATTTTAAAGATTCTGAAACAGAAGGAAGAAAAGTGTATCCGCCACGTAATCAAGATTCTGAAGAAGATTAGGTAAGTTAGTATTTTTAATTATTTGAGGATATTATTTTTATGCATTGTTGTAAATGTAAGGTGGAAAGGAATTTGGTATTGGGAAAATTGTTATTAGCAATGATTTAGTTTAAAGTAATTAGGATTATAAGGTAATTTTTATTAATTTAATGTATGTGCTCATTTATATTTTAAGTAGTGTTTTTGAATTTAATTATATTTTAATGAAATGATAGTTATTTTGTGAATTTTATGTTTGTAGGAATTTGGTATACGTTTAAGTTGAAATAAACGTGCATGGAAATAATTTAAATATTTGTAATGCTTGCGGTATGAATTCGTTGGTGACGTGTATAGTGTAATAGATGATTTAGAGGTAAAAGTTTTTGGATATTTTATTTATTTTATATGTGGAAATGTTCATATTTGTAAAGGGTAAATACTTTTTCGTGATCAGGTAATTTCATATATGTTCTTTTTACCGGGTTAAAGATTGAGAAAGTTGTCATGTATTTTCGTGAAATTTTTGTAATTTATGAGAAAAAAGCAGTGTACATGGATATAGTGAACAGTGTGCGCAATGCCATTTTTGTGCAATTCTGGGATGTTTTTTTAAGTAAAAATAAGTCGGCGTGTACATGGTTTATGTGTATGTGTTATTTTGAAAAATGCGTAAGGAGGATGGTATTGTGCAGTTTTTCCTAATTTTGCAGTGAATATTTGTCATGATTAAGCAGTTTTGTTTGATAAAATTTCTAGCATAAGTGTAATTCGGCTAGTAGATTGTTGGAAGAAGTGTTCAGGAGATAAAAAGAAAAGAAACATGTCTTTACTTCGTGAAGAGAAAATGGCGGCGGGGAAAAAAAAAATAGAGGGTTGCTGTAGGAGAGTTGGTCGCAAAAAATCGCCAAGTTACCATAATGTAAAGATCAAACAAAATTTCTTAGTTGTAGCAAAAACCCATTCTAGATTCTAAACAATATCATGCCAATGACTACATAATTTTCTTGCCATCTTTCCAACGACAATACATCATTTACGCGAGTTTCTTTGGCTTTATGGAATGCATACTATTTGGATGTGGATGATTTTAATGACTATAATTTTAATTTGGAAGCAATTCAGAAAACGTGCTGGATGCAGCATAAAATATTATAAAATTATTATTACGAGTCATTTTAAGGATAAAGTGACCCCACGTCCCGCTTTTTATAAAACATCTGCCTTTCTTATTTACTGTAAAAATATATTACCTATTATTTATTAATTATTATAGTAAATATAAAAATATAAAAAACATAAAATGCATGCAGGGTAAACTAAATTAGGCGATGTAACAAGTTAGATTTACTCGGTGGTGTTTGACCATTGTCGTTGCGTCTCGTCAAGGAATATGTATTATTAACGGAGGAACAGCTAGCATTAGCTGAAGGGCTATTTGCTTTCCACACCATAAACCACAATCAAAATTTCAGATCAATTGATTGTACGTTGCAAATGATCAAAACATTGTACGACAAAAAATGTGCATGTGCAAGGACCAGAAAACGAAGCAATTACTTGTAATGTTTTTCACCATATTAGTTTCCACAATTGCAGAAAGAAATAGATAAATGTACATTTATATTCATATATTACGATGCTTCCAACCACAAAGATTTAAAATTATTTCCCACAACTGTTAGACTTTTTGATCCAGAAACAGGAATTAAAATTAGAATATTAGATTTTGCTTCATTGCTGGCGAAACTTTTTTTTTTTCCAATGGCAGATTGTAAACAGTTACAGTTTTGTAACAGAGTCCATTTATCCATACTAAGGCCAGATGTAGGTACTATTAGGTATAGATGTAGGTACTATTAGGTAGGATGTACTATTAGGTATCTCTTTGTTATAGAGATACCTAATAGGTGGGCCACCATTGCCTCCTATGAAGAGACAGTTACAGCCATGCCTTCTCCGGGATTCCAACCCAGGCCCTTAGGTATCGCAGTCAGGCTTCCCTAACCACTATACTGTCTGGGCAGCTGCCGGGTGAAACTTCATAAATAATTTTTGATTCAATAACTATTTTTTAAAAAAGAATAATTTGAACAATAATATTATTGCCTATTGTGAAAGGATTTTATTGTTGACACTAATTGCAAATTTTGGCTGGAAAAGCTAGAAGAGGCATCAATAACATTTTAATGAACATTTGAGCTAAAAAATTATTGGAGTAGGTTGTGCTGTGCACATTCTACACAGTACTATTTAAACAGCATCTGACTTACTTCCAGTGGATCTTGAAAATATTACTGCAAAAATTTATTCGTATTTTTATATATATACTGTGAGTGTTGAAACTTTGAAGGATTTTTGTGAAAGCACAGAAATCGAATGTTAAAAAAGGAGATTTTAAGGGAATATGTGGAAAAATCTCTTTAATATATTAGTAATCATTTTCCGAAAAATAATATTTGCGAAAATGATCTTTTTGATGAGATGTCATTGGTTAAAAAATATGTTACTGAAGAAAAAATTAAATATTGGTTGTCTGCAAATGTGGAAACAAGCAAAAAGTGGACGGAGTTATTCCTTCATTTTAAACAGAATAACATTCCTTATGAAAATATTTTTTAAATTGTAGAACACTCACTCTCCCTTCCAGGAACAAATGCAGCAACAGAATGTGTTTTTTCTGGTATCCATAAAATATGGACAACTGAAAAAACGCAGTTGAACATTAAACCTTTAAAACCTGTATTACGGGTAAAATATAATTTGACCAATTCATGTGTGAAATTTCACGACATTTTAATAAATGATTTGAATAACTTGCAAAGTATTCATTTGGATAAAAAAACATGACCGTGAAAGAAAATCATAATTTTTTTAAGTAAAATTTTAAATTAATTAAAAAACATTCAAATTATAGTTTTTTACAAATATTTTTAGTTACCAATAGCTAGTATTAAGTATATTTCATAGCTAGTATTAAATATATTTACAGACAAGTACATGAATGTATTCAATAAAATATATTATTTTGAATTATTGGTCTGCTTTCATAACTAAATTACAATTCTCATTTCATTCCATTTGTCCTGCTTTGTTTCAATGAAAATGTGGTCACTTCATTTAAGGCATACAGTCCAAAGTTTCATTTAAAGACATGTTCTGGCATGTTTGAAATAGAACTTGATTCCAGAAGTATAATTGAAATTACAAAGAACTTAAAAAACATGCCGTATTAGTAAAAGATTAAAAAAAACAAACTGCAAAGATTTCCTTAGTCGAAAGCTTATCTTTCCATACACCAAAATAAAAGTGTGCACAGACTACAGCAGATGTTTTTTAACATTTCATATTTTTTTTAGAGCTAGTACACATTTTTGCATTTTGAACACAAGATTTGATTTGTAAATAAGTATAACTGCAGCAAAATAACAATAATATTATTTAGTAGTATAATAAAGTATTACATAAAAGAAATGAAAACACTCCACTGACAGGCCGCACATCAACTACTAATGACAACAGTTAAAAGATTAATTCACCAGGAAATAATTTTGCTTTGGTATATTGCCTTTGAATGAATAAAGATCAGTATTCATGTTATGAATGGAAAGAGCAATGCAGCCAGATTATCTACATGGAACTAAAACTGACCAGAGTTCAACAAGTTTATTCATGTCTGAATATGTACATGAAAGAAAATGAGCTAAATAAGCAAGCATAATAATTTATAACACCACATCAAAACAAACTTCAGATTTTTAAAAGAAAAGATAGAGAAACAGACAGCTAACATAACTTTAATCACTTACCAAGATCTGAGAAATAAGGTAATATATAATATTACCTATTATATATCTATTAGGCTATTATAAATATATATATTAGGCTATTATAAAAATATTAAATTGACAAAATGTATTTTTACTTTTACTAAATCCAAAACATACCACTTGAAAACTTTACGGCAGTTAAAAATAATCAAATGAAGCTTATAATAACATTAACACATTAAGCATGTTTCATCTAATTTGGTGCCAATATAATCTAAAAACAGCAAATCCATATTTATTTGACCGATTGAAGAAATTATTCGTTTTGGAAAAGTAACTTCAATTAAAAAATATTTTGATTATAGTCAAATTAGTTTCAACGTCGAATGCGTAAGCCTAACGCCTGGGTGAGAGTTTGTTAGTAATGTTCAAACCTTTTAATTTGTTTACTTTACGAAACAAATAAACAAGTAAACGAATATATAATACACGGTACTTTCAGTGATGCAACAAAACATTCTGTTCCTAAATATTTGGAAATTTGACAGCTTGATCAACTGCAGACTTACATTTGGCTTAACGATCAATATTGATACCATTTAAGGAAGGATTAAAACTATAATGTTCACATCATTTAAACAGTATAAAATCCGGAGAAAGAGTTACGATATTTGATACAAATGTAGAAAGTAATGTTTAAAATAATCTTACAAATCATTATTTTACAAATGACCTTCACTATTACATCAATAGCAGGAATGGCTTCAAAACCAGCATTTGAGTGTGATATATTGAAAATTTTAAGATCAAGTATTTTACAAACCTAATAATAGGAGTCTATGAGTTGCCCTGTATATCTGTTTGTCTTTTTGAATCTGTCTTTCAATTTTCTTGTTTGCTTCTTTCCTGCGTTTATCCTCTTCAGCATCGCCCTTGGAGCTAGATCCTCCAAAGCAACCCATGACATTAGGCCTAATGCCGGTTACCGCCGGTCTACAGACCGATGTAGCGAACAAGTAGTTTCAATCGAGCTTATCGAAAATAACCTGCTGTATCTTAATCCATGATTTACAAGTGCGATTAAGGATTGTAGTTCGGTTGTCGAAGAAGAGCGAAGTGTACACTATTTACCTCAAACAACTGCTCATTGGCGAAAACTGGTTTAAGGGGAATAATACAAGTCACACGACTATCATCCTTAGCATTTTTCTATTACCGTACACTCGCGAACACGATCGCTTCGCAGCATATACATTAAAACACGAAGCAAAAAGCTTAGTGGGAGGATATGTTTAGCAAAGCCATACACTTCTTAATCGCACAAATAAAAGACGTCAGTGGCGGAGGTTATGTTTAAAAATAGAAACTGAAATCTATATTCACTTCAGTATGAAAAATTTTCAGATTTAATTTTTGAAAAGATGTCGGATGCTAAAATCGCTGACTGGCGCAATTTTTAAGCATGATATGAGATAGAAGGGTAGTTTAATAATTTATAAATTGTTTTATGAAGCAAATAACTTATTTCAGAGGAAAATAGCTCTTGCCTAATAAACAATATTCCTAGTTTCCAAACTAAAAACATCAAGTTTCCCAAATATTAAAATATGTTTATGAACTTATCTTTTAAAAATATTTTATAAAAATATATTTTCCATATTATAGTATTTAGAGAGTTTTCATAGTCCCATGCAAAACCAAATTTCTAGGTTTCAGTCCAGTTACGAAAATTTTTAAGACGCAGAATATCTATTATTTTTCATTGATTAGGACCTAATAACAGAGTAACTTTATTTTCTCCACATCATACGCTCAGTATTTGTTGAACGATAATATTCATAACTGTGAATTTATTTTATAAAATTGAACCTTTTTTCCCTCCCTCTCCAGACTAGTACTGAAGAGAATGCAGTAAAATATTTCGGATTTTGGGAAATGGCGAATAAATTGCAATAGAAATCTGACTTATCAAAAACAGTAATGAATACACATGCACATAATATCTTTGGCAATCGATTTGATATTTTTCTATAACATATAACTGGATATATAATTACTAGTTCAATAAAAATGGGAACACAAAGACACCTTACATAAATTTTTTTCAGTCTTATATTGTTCAATAGAGGGCGCTATCTGTCCTTGAAAGCAAAACAATGTTCTGGAATCCGATAATCTTTTAAGAATATTTTTGAATGTTCACAAATTTCTGGGAAAAAAGGAATACATAGCTATCTGAAAAACCAATATGAATGATGATAACTTATCACATATTTCTAACATGTTCCATTAAATTTACGGTAGCATCAAAAATATTTCAAGATCCATTATAGAGACATAGAAGAGGGGGAACATCAGAGTTTACTTCTGTTGCGATCAGTGCGATATATGGACATTGTTCGGAGCCCCACGAATATAATGGCCAAGGCCGGATTAAGACTTTTGAACCTACTTAATGATTAGTAGCGTGCAATACCCTGTATATAGTGTACATATTGTATATATTTTTTCGTTATATTTTTTTACTCTTTCTGTATTTGTATTGTACTGTTACTTTAAGACATTGTGCTTTTTCTTCAATTAACTTAGGACGTTCCACTTGCTGTCTATGACCGCGCGATGCCTCGGTCCCCCCCTATTTCCACCTGCTCCGCTCCCTCTAGGATACCCATGGAGGTAGAAAGTAACCTTTCCTACCTCCATGAGGATACCACGGGCAGATAGTACCATGTGATGCGCCCATGTGGCAAATTTTATTGAGCCGGAAAAACTGCACACTGTGTGGTAGTCCGGCAATAAATTAATCAGTCAGTTAAAGACTTTTGAAGGGCCTAAGCATTTAAAACATTTTGGTGACCCATACATACATTTACGCCTCTTTTTTTTCCCCCGCTTCTTCTCGCTTGATCTTGGTTTGGTTGCATGATTCCGTGCTAAAATCAGAAATGGAAATTTTTGTGGTGCCCCCTTTCCTTGATGCTCTAGGCACGGGCTTGTTTTGCTTAATTGTTAATCCAGCTCTGATAATGGTTCATGTTTTGACAAAGTTATTGATTTTCTTGAAAATGACGGTGTAAATAAAATAATACAGCAAAATGCCATGTCTCATGACTGTTTGTATGGGCCTGGTTACCATTTATTTTCTTTGGAAATGCCTACATTTTGTAAAAATTAATGCAGTCGGGGAAAAAATTAAATTTATTATAGGAAACTTTTGTCCGAAAATTGGACTTGAGGATTTTAATTTTATATAATGCTTAAATTTTCTGGAAAGGATGCTGAAAATCTACTTCACGAGTAATATGATGAAGGAGGATAAAGATTTCTGAAATGGGAAAATCTATACGGTTGTTACTTAGAATCTCTGACTATGTGTATCGAGCCATTTAAGGAGCTTATCTTATTTCAGAGGGATGAATCCTGAAAAACCTTTTACGTATATAAATTGCATTAACCACCAAATTCATGAATAACTGAAGAATTGGTACTACGGCCTGTTCCAAGGCAACGTAGGCATATATCTTAAATTGCGCTGGAGCCTGGCTACGCTACGTCTCAGCTTTTGAGATAAATTGCAAATCTAGCGGAAGCTGACAGGAGGCCAAAATAATCTAGTACAGTGATTTCCTCTATGAAAATGAACCACAATATCAGCAGGGAATTATTTTTATCTCGTAACATTTTATTTTAGAAATAAGCAGAACTTGATATCGATGATAACTTCTGAATGTATACTTGTCTCTCTCCAAGATGAAAATCATTGGAAGTTGAGACGTTTAAGGCAAATAAAAAAATCACGTTTCGAAGCATAACATTCCATGAAGTGGAATGAATTTTAAGTTTGCTTGTTTGCGAATGGATAAATTTCTGGTTCCTGATTATACTAATAGTTATCACCCTAATTATGTCTTCGTCCGCTAACGGTTTCAACTACCTGTGATTTACAGAAGGATAGGAAACCATCGTTTTATGTTCCAAAATGCTTTCCAAGTTACAACTGACCTAAAATAACGAAATAATAATATATATAGTTAAAACACGTCCAACAAAGGGAAACAACAACTACGGACTTTCATTAAATATAACCAAACATCGTGAATTAAAATGGTCAAACATAGAACATACATTTGGTCTCAGCTTAAAAAACATTTCTCGAATTCGGGCAACTTGACAAGTGTAATTATAACAGCAGGTGACCGTGGACTGAAAAGTGTTGACTCTTCTCTTTTTGTTTCCACATCTGCACTTTTCATTAAAAGTTTCTTCCATATTCGATTACTGCTTTGAGCATTTTTTTTTTTTTTTGTTTTTTTTGTTTTGTTTTTGTGTGTGTGGAGGGCTGGAGAAAAAGAATTATTTTTGCTCTTATATTTGTGGTGCTTTTATAATATGTTGTAATTTGCTCTTATTTTTGTGGTGCTACATAATATTTAAAATTCAGGGCTTAAATTTAGCCAGAGTCCGGCTCTACTGTTTCTGAGTTTTTGAGTGCAATTCCATTTGGAACATCAAATAAGATGAGGCCTGATATTTGATTTTATAATTTAATTTAAATATTATTTTGAATTAATTTGAATAATGATATAATTACTTATAATTGCTAAAAATCGAATAATATATAATAATATATAATTAAAGTTTATTCAAAGTAATTATTTAATTACTTTGAATAAATTTTTATTTGTATCTTTGCATTTTATTGAATTTTAATTATTAACTATTTTGCTTATTAATTATTAATTATTTTATTATATCAACTTTATTTTATTTTATTTCATGTATTTTTCCTGCTGGCTTTCCATAGGGTTAAGGTACTTTTCGAAATTAAACCCTAAATACAGTTTCATGCGTACATGAATTAATCTTATTAATTACATCTTATTTCTCGCTTAGGCACCTTTAATAAAGATAACCGAATCTATCAAGAATTATTTGTCCAAATTTTATAAGTTATATATATTTTATAAGTTATTTTATAAGTATATTATATATTTATTTGTCCAAATTTTATAAGCTGATTCTAAAATAAAATCCTAATTCCGAATTATGAAAGAGTTTTGAATTCAAAGAAATCCTCCTAAATAAGATTTGTCAGTTGACAGGGTCTGATTCTGTGTAACTCAGTTCTTTTATCCTTTTTAAACTAATAAGTGGGATACAGATCACTTATTACTCGTAAAGGTATTACAAATTTATTAATTTAAAATGTAATTTTTTAACTAACTTCTATTGTTTATTTGTAAAAGTATTACAAATTCCTAAAAAGGTTTTAAATAATATTTTTATTTAAGTCTTGAACTTAAGAAAATGCACAACTTCTGAGTGCAAACTAACTCCCCCACTTGCAGAAGGCAGATAATAGAAATGTGAATTATAAATTAAAGTGGATTCGAAGTCTGAGATTATAATATAAATGACGTCACTAAGCGCTGTCTCAAATTTGATTATTCGATCTAACTTCGTCTATCAAAATGGCTAATGCCGAATTACCAACTTCGTATAGCTGGGAGAGAGAAACTGCTACTGGTAAGCGTCTCAGCCAAAGCTCTATCTCTAAAACTTTCAAGAACTCCACATTAAATACGCTTACTCATTTGTGTCCTGGTGAGAACAATGAAAAGGAGAAATGACGATACAGAGCAAAACCAAAACAGAAGGGGTTAATTAATACGTACGTTCACAATTCACTCGTATAAACTGTACAGTTGCCCCCATCACAATTTAAACTTTTCGAAAACAAAGGTCTTAATGACCTTGTAAGAGAAAATTTAATTCTAAAACTAAACTGCTGAACTTCGTTTTTACAGTAATCTTTAAGATAATTCTTAATTTATGCATGAACCTTCTTTCTTGACACAAAAATATTTTGGAATAGGCATTTTCTCTTGGCTCTCAATCCTTCCAAATCTCTGGGGAAAAAAATAATTTAGCGGGCTTACTTCGAATCCTACAAATATGTACAAAAACAAAACAAAACAAAAAAAAAAAAAAAAAAAAAAAAAAAAAAACTTTTACATTCACAATTCACTATTCTATCCCCTTAATGCTTTTTCACGCCTCTTCGGCTTGTGTTGGGGGTCGATTGTATGTCACTAATTGTATTAAATCACTTTTTACCTCCTAATCGAATTCCTACATGGTCAGATTCTTAGAGAAATTAGACCTCAACTACACTCTATTCCAAAATCTATGCTTAATGTTCTACATTTAATTTAAACTTTAAGAGTGGTTACTGGAAAGCCTAACTTATTACCATTTTTCATTTACAATGCATTAGCTTTTACTGTGACATCAGTAACTCATAGCCCACTTTTTAAAGATAAATTCTTAATATATATTATTCA